AATCAGTGACCTAAGGACGCGGATGTTAAGGACTAAGAAGCCAAAGTCGTGCTCTCGGATGCTGAACCCTAGAGCCTAAACCCTAAACCCTACTGCTTAAGGTCCTGAACGGCGTCGAAGGCACTGAACCCTCCCGAAGCAAGAGCCACGATACGGCAAAACATATCTTCGGTGGCTCAGGGTTTAGGGTGCGTAGGGGTTTAGTGTTTAGGGTACACACCTTTCGTCTGCTCTCGGCTTCGGGGTTGGCCTGGGATTGTTGGCTGTCGATGAGTGTCCACGTCAGTCAGCCCTTTCGTCGCCTGGCCTCAAACAGCGCGCTTGTCATCCATCTTTGGCTGGTTCCACACTTTGCAGACCACTTCTCCAACGATGACCGACGCCGAAAAATGAACACCAGAGCAGGCCTGTACTTAACTGCTCGAGGTGCCACGTGCGTCAAACATTGCGAAACCCATTCGCAAGAAGTCCATGAACGAGGCATCGCTCTGCAGCCGCGACGTCAGCTGCTTCGCGATCTCTTGGGCTGCAAGGGTACCGGAGACGGAGAGCTCCGCGGCCGCGTCGAGGGCTCCACAGGCCTTGGCCTCCGCCAGGTTCTCGGCCCGACCGGTGAGGTTCCACAGCACTCCCGCAGCAAACTCCTGCGCCACCGGGGTGCCTTGCCTCAGGAGCTCCACGAGCAGACGGATGGCCCTGGCCTTCGCGGTCCGCACCTTGATCTCGTCGTTGTGGGCTGACAGATTCTGCAGCGCTCCCGCGGCACGCTCCTGCCCCGTGGGCGTGCCAGTATTCAGGAGCTCGACGAGCCGAGGGATGACCCCGGTCTCTGCGATCGCCACCTTGTTCTCGGCGTTGCCGGCTGCCAGGTTCCCCAGCACCACAGCAGCCCCCTCTTGCACCTTCGGAGTCCCATGGCTGAGGAGCTCCACAAGCTTCGGGAGGGCGCCGGCCTTCGCGATGGCCACCAGGTTTTCAACGTCCTCCCTTGCCAGCCTCCATCGCAACCTCCGCCTCTAGGGTCGCCAGCGCGGCCTCCTGCTTCCGCCACTCGGCGCGCAACTCCACGGTGAGCTTGGAGGGATCACCTCCGACATGGAGGCCCTGCACTTTTGCTCCAGGCCCTTGCTGAGGCACAGCCCGGCGAGCTCGGATCTGATCTCGTCTAGGGCAAGTGCCATGGCTGGGTCGCAAACGCCCTACGTGCTCCCTACACCCTACACCATGCACCCTACACACCCTAAACCCAAAACCCCAAACCCAAAACCCAAAACCCTAAACCCTAAACCCTTTCAACCCTTCCCCTCATTTCCCATGAAGAACAGAATTCGGGGATTGTGGGCTTCAGATCAGATGTCCCTTCACTGATGCTCGCCGTTGGACGCCCCAAACGGCACTAGAACCCCAGTTCCCCAAAATCCTTGTTTAAGGGTTTAGGGTTTAGGGTTTAGGGATTAGGGTTTAGGGTTTAGGGTTTAGGGATTAGGGTTTAGGGTTTAGGGTTTAGGGCTTGGGTTTCGGGTTTAGGGCATGCAGAATCTGTAGAATTGAATCTGAGTCAAGTCGAGTGCTCCTGCTCAGCGGCCGACGCTTCTGGTCCCCAAACCCTAAACCCTAAACCCTAAACCCTAAACAAGTGTTGTAATACGAACACTTTTAGAGGCACAAGGGTTTATGGGGTTTTCAAAAACCCTAAACCCTAAACCCTCCTAGTCAGCGAAAAGCTCTTGCGAGCGGCTGCGCATTCGCTGCTATACTGGGCTTGGGCTCAAGTGGCTTCCTTGCAGGCGGTCGAAAACCGAGCGTTCGTGCAAGCTTTGGGGGCTCTGAGTTGCTAAGACCGTAGGGTTTAGGGTTTAGGGTTCAGGGTTGAGGGTTTAGGCTTTAGGGTTTAGGGTTGAGGGTTTAGGTCGTTGCGGCTCAGCTGCTTGGAGCGCCCGCGGCGGTGGGCTTTATGAGCCTTCTATGTACGGCCTCGGGGCTGAGCACACTCCCATTTCCGGGTACACTTCGAGGGGCGAAGCCATGCCATGAACCTCGGGGCAGGGCTGAAAACCTTCAAACTTCATTTTTTGGCCTTGGTTGAGGGGTGTATTTACTCCACTTCGGCTTTGAGGGTTCAGGTTAGACTCCTATAGCCTAAGCTGAGCCCCCACTGTCTGTGCGTGGGTTTGCGGCTTAGGACCTAGGATTTTTTGGCCTCAGGGCTTCCAAGGCCTGCTTTTTGTAGATTCGCAAGAGGATTCTCTTCGGCCACCTTCAAGAAGAACGCTTGGGGGCTTCTGAAGGTGTAGGGTTTCAAGGGTGCATTAGGCCAGACGAGGAGCCCCAAACATCAGCCCCCCATCTCCCGCGGCCTCTCAGGAGTTCATCGTCTGCCGGCTAAGGCCTGCGGGCTTGTGAGGTGATAAGGGTTTGAAGGGTTGAGGGGTTAAGGTTAGGGGTTGAGGGTTTCAGGGGTTGAGGGGTTAAGGGGTTCCGGGGTTTGGGGTTTAAGGGTTGAGGGGTTTGGGCTTGAGGTTTGTGAGGGTTTTTGGGCTTAGGGTTGAGGGGCTGGTGGGTTTTGGGGCTTAAACCCTCATTAAACCCCTAAACCCTCAACCCGCAGTTAAACCCCTGAAACCGCTATCAAGCCTCTAGTTTGCCCCTCTTAGCCCGAATAAACCCCTAACCCTCACAAACCCTATAACCCCCAACAGCCCTTGGCCTGAACCCTGCACTACCCTAAACCCTAAACCCTAAACCCTAAACCCTAAACCCTAAACCCTAAACCCTAAACCCTAAACCCTAAACCCTGTGTCCTGGTCTTTTCCAGCGGACGCCGGCGGCAGCTGTGGCCGCATCGCCCTGGGCTTGGGGTCCGAAAGGCTTCGTGTGGGACTTAAGGGCTTTCTGTTCACGCTATAAAGGTTTGACCCAGCTACTCTGCTAGGGTAAGTTGGTTCAGGGCACGCCAGGGATACTCTGCAGGATTAATTGAGGGAATACACGAGACCCGGGTGAGGAGAATAGCTGAGTTACAAGCCAAAAGCTCCACGCCAAGGGTGGGAGAATAACCCCTAAACCTTATACCCGAAACCTATACCCCGCCCCCGGAAAACTCAAACCCCATGATCCACAGATCCGAAGCCCGCCTCCAAACAGAGACGCAGAACAGAAAAACGGGTAGGTTTCATCCTATCCCTGACTTCATGTACATCGCAGCGCTGAGTCCGCTAAAACCTGTATAACCCTTAACTTACCCGAAAACTTGCCCTAAAACCTCAAACTCGAAACACCCTAAACCCGAAACCCGAAACCCAAACCCCAAACCCTAAACCCGAAACTTAAGTCTGGGGACTCCGGCTCCTCAGATCAGAGAAGTGAGATGCATGGCCCCCCGAAAAATCGCAGGTGCTGGCGAACTGTGCTAAGAGGGTTGAGGGTTGAGGGTTGAGGGTTGAGGGTTGAGGGTTGAGGGTTGAGGGTTGAGGGTTGAGGGTTGAGGGTTGAGGGTTGAGGGTTTGCGTGGCAGTCTCGGGCGAGGGCTCTTTGGGTGTGGGCCGAAATACCATGTGACAAGAAATGATGAGGGTTTAGGGTTCAGGGTTCAGGGTTTAGGAGCGGTTTAGGTTTACTGTAGGTCTGGAGTCTGCAGGGTTTGGAAGGGAGGGATTCTTGCGGCTTGGGGCTTAGTTGAAGGTGCATTGGGGCTTGGGGGGTTTAGGGGTTAGGGTTTGGGGTTTCGGGAGTTTAGGTCTTAGTTCCCCAAGCAGCCATCCCTCAGCCGTAAACCCTAACCCTGGCCTCCAGACCCTTGAAGCCCTAAGCCCAAACCCCTAAACCCCAAACCCTAAACCCTAAACCCTAAACCCGAAGCCCGAAGCCCGAAACCCTAAGCCCTGGGCCCCAAAAGCCGCGATCCCGAAATCCAGTAAGCCTGAAGCCCTCAACCTGGGGGCCCTGAGCCGCCCTTATCGGTTGGGTTTAGGGTTTAGGGTTTAGGGTTTAGGGTTCAGGGTTTAGGGTTTAGAGTTTAGGGTTTAGGGCTTGGGGCTGAAGGTTCCGGGCTCCAGGTTTGGATGTCAATGTTTGGGGGCATGTGCGCATGAGGCCCGATGTCCATCGCAGCACCCACAGGCTGAATTCCAAACCCTGCAGACTCCAGACCTACAGTAAACCTAAACCGCTCCTAAACCCTGAACCCTGAACCCTAAACCCTCATCATTTCTTGTCACATGGTAGGCTCTTACCTTTTTGGGGCTGCGAACCTACAACCGATAAAGCCAGTACTTGTAACTCCAATACCCCCTCGGCTTAGGATTTAGGGTTTAGGGTTTAAGGTTTAGGGCTTAGGGTTTAGGGCTTAGGGCTTAGGGCTTAGGGCTGAGGTTTGAGGGCTTGGCGTTTCGGAGTTTCGATGGGCTTCGGGCCTGAGCTTTTTAGGGTTTAGGGTTTAGGGTTTAGGGTTTAGGGTTTAGGGTTTAGGGTTTAGGGTTATTACAGGCTCACGTAGGATGGGGGGGCGGTCGGGCTTTTTGAGCCCCGCCCAGCCGGCGCAAACCCGCGCCCGGAGGCCTCGCCGGCCTCTGTCTCTAGAGCTTTAGAGGGTTTTTGGGATTTAGGGTTTAGGGTTTAGGGTTTAGGGTTTAGGGTTTAGGGTTTAGGGTTTAGGGTTTAGGGTTTAGGGTTTAGGGTTTAGGGTTTAGGGAAGGGTTAAGGATTTTCAGTTGGAGCGGACTTGAGTCTCCCGTCACCAGGAGATTTGTTGGGCGTTGGCTTCAGGATGGGACACAACCTAAACGAAACTGCAGCAACTAAGCCAAACAGCTCCCTGAACCCTAAAGCCTAAACAAGGCTCCTACAGTTTATAGGGCCCTTTAGGGCCCTAAAACCTGTGCGAGGATATAAGTGAACTCGGGCGCAGGGTGGGAGATTCGTGGAAAGCAAAGCAAAGCTGTGGCCCACAAAAGACTTCTGCAGAGGCGCCCTGGTCTGTTTTCGACACGGCCTTGGCGACGCTAGTGCCAATCTTCGCGTGGCCCTGGACTGCCACGCAGGCTTCGCCGAAGTTCTTCAGCCCATAGAAGGAGACTATGCCAGCAAAGACAATGTACTTGCATCGTGGCATTCTTGCAATCACATGAGGTGCCTTCTCTCTGTTTGGCCACCTTATTCTCAGCGTTGCCTGACAGCTTTCGCAGCGCTCCCGCCGCATCCTTCTGTGCCATGGGCGTGCCATCCCTCAGGAGCTCGACGAGCGGAGGGATGGCCCCGGCCTCCACGATGGCCACCTGGTTCTCAGCGTTTTGTGTAAGATTACGAAGCGCACCCGCGGCATCCTCCTGTGCCACGGGGGTGCCACCCCGCAGGAGCTCGACGAGCGGAGGGATGGCCCCGGCCTCCACAATGGCCACCTGGTTCTCGGCGTTTTGTGCCAGATGTTGCAGCGCCCACGCGGTATTGTCCTGTGCCACAAAATTGCCATCCCTCAGGAGCTCGACGAGCGGAGGGATGGCGCCCGCCTTCGCGATGGACACCCGGTTCTCGGCGTTGATTGCCAGATTTGCCAGTGCTCCCGCGGCCTCCCGCGCCACCGGGGCGCCATCTCTCAGGAGCTCGACGAGCAGAGGGATGGCCCCGGCCTTTGCGATCGCCACCTTGTTCTCGGCATTGCATGCCAAATTTCGCACCACTCCCGTGGCCATCTCCTGCACCATGAGGGTGCCATCCCTCACGAGCTCAACAAGCGGAGGGATGGCCCCAGCCTTCGCGATGGACACCTGGTTCTCGGCGTTGCCTGCCAGATTTCGCAGAGCCCCCGCCGCTTGCACCACGAGGGTGCCATCCCTCAGGAGCTCGACGAGCAGAGGGATGGCTCCGGCCTTTGCGATCGCCACCTTGTTCTCGGCGTTTGCTGCCAGATTTCGCAGCGCTGCCGCTGCCTTCTCCTGCGCCACGGGAGCGCCATCTCTCAGGAGCTCGACAAGCCGAGGGATGGGCCCCGCCTTCGCGATGGCCACCTGGTTCTCGGCGTTTTGTGCCAGATTTTGCAGAGCTCCCGCGGCCTTCTCCTGTGCCACAGGGGTGCCATCCCGCAGGAGCTCGACGAGCGGAGGGATGGCCCCGGCCTTCGTGATGGCCACCTGGTTCTCACCGGCGTTTCGTGCCAGATTTTGCAGCGCTGCCGCTGCCTTCTCCTGCGCCACGGGGGCGCCATCCCTCAGCAGCTCGACGAGCGGAGGGATAGCCCGGGCCTTCGTGATTGCCACTTCGTTCTCGGTGTAGGCTGCCAGATTTTGCAGCGCTGCCGCGGCCTTGTCCAGAACGTTCGGAGTCCCATGTTTGAGGAGCTCCACAAGTTTCGGGATAGCACCGGCCTCTACGATCGCTACCGGGTTTGCGGCCGCCCTTGCAGACAGCCTCATCAGTTTTTCTGCCGCCTCCGCTTGCTGCTCCTCGCTGCCCCGGAGTCCGGCAATCAGCTGTTGGAGCTGGAGGCGCTCCACCGGCAGCCGCACGCCGCCTTGGGGGTCCTCGCCCTTCTTGATCAAAGCCTTCGCGGCCGCCGCCACGTAGAGCTGGTGGAGCTCCGGGACGGCCTTCAGCTCGCAGCTCGTCGACGCGGAGGCGGCGATGCTGATGGATGGGCCCCGTGCTCTGATCGTCCGCCCGTTGCGGCCCGTCCGCTTTGCTGCGTCCAGCTTGGTGAAGTCGAAGTTCCCGCGGAGCCGCTCCACCACCGCCTTCCGAAGCTGCTCCAGGAACCCGCCGAGGTCTGCGCCGGCGCCCTGCTGGGCCACGATGGCAAAGACGAACTCGCCGCCGCCGAACCGGAACGGGACGCAAACGGCCTCGCGCTGCTGCGCGTTCCAGGCCTCCGCCTGCTCGGCCACGACCTCGGCCACCTGCATGATGGCAAAGTCGCCGTGCGCGTGGGACCAGCCGTCGTTCACGACCTTGAGGTTGTCGATGTCGGCGGAGGCCACGGTCAGAGTCAAGGCCTTGCCTTCCAGCATTTTCAGGACTTTGCCGTAGAACGCTTTCCGTCTCAGCAGGGTCAACGGGTCGTAGTACAGCGCGTTCAGCTCTCCCTTCTCAGTGGCGGCCATCGCAACCTCCGCGTCCAGGGTCGCCAGCGCGGCCTCGTGCTTCCGCCACTCGGCGCGAAACTCCAGGGTGAGCTTGGAGGGATCACCTCCGACATGCTGCAGCTGCTCCGATGCGAGCCGAACGTTCTGGGCCGCTCTCTGCATGGAGGCCCTGAAGTTCTGCTCTAGGTCCTGGCTGAGGCACAGCCCGGAGAGCTCGGATCTGAAATCGTCCAGGGCTTGCGCCATGGCTGGGTCGCAAAGGCCCTACGTGCTCCGTACACCCTCCACCCTCCACCCTACACCCTAAACCCCAAACCCCAAACCCCAAACCCTAAACCCAAAACCCTAAACCCTAAACCCTAAACCCTATCCCTCATTCCCCATGAAGAACCAGGGGGCCTTTCTGGATTCGGGCATTGTGGGCTTCAGATCAGATGTCCCTTCACTGATGCTCGCTGTTTGGATCCAAACGGCACTAGAACCCCTGTTCCCCAAACTCCTTATCTAAGGACCAGTATGCAGAATATGTAGAAAATGAATCTGAATCAAGTCGAGTGCTCCTGCTCAGCGGCCGACGCTTCTGGTCAAGTGTTGTAGTGTACGAACACTTTTGGAGGCACAAGGGTTTATGGGGTTTCCGAAAACCCTAAACCCTAAACCCTCCTAGTCAGCGAAAAGCTCTTGTGAGTGTCTGCGCATTCGCTGCTATACTGGGCTCGGGCTCAAGAGGCTTCTTCGCAGGCGGTCGAAAACCCGTTCGTGCAAGCTTCGGGGCTCTGAGTTGCTAACCTTAGGGTTTCGGGTTTAGGGTTTAGGGCTTAGGGCTTCGGGTTCAGGGTTTAGGGCTTAGGGTTTAGGGTTTAAGCCTTAGGGCTTTGGGTTTAGGGCTTTTGGGCTTAGGGCTTAGGGTGTTACGGCTCAGGTGCTTGGAGCGCCCGCGGCGGCGGGCTTAATGAGCCATTATCAGGCCTTGGGGGCGGAGCACGCTACAAACGCCGGGTACACTTCGAGAGGCGAAGCCATGCCTTGGTAGCCCAGTAATCATATCATCAAAGGGCACCCTTTTTGGGGTTGGTTGCTTTTTAAGGGAACCCAGAACCAAACCAAGGGTCAAGGGCACCACTGGGCCACCAAGATGCCATGAACCTCGGGCATTGCTGAAAACTTTCAAAAATCACCGCCTTCGGCTTCAGCACCTTTTGTTTGTGAGGTGTGTGAGTGCGGTGTGAGGGCGCCACCGCCGAACCCGCGTAGGGATGCGGTGTGAAGGGAGCGGGTGTGCGGGTGGTGCGTGGTGTGCGGTGTGTGCGCGGTGCGCGGTGTGAGTGCGGTGTGAGTGCGGCGTGAAGGCGTAGGTGTGCGATGTGAGGGCGGGACGAGGAGGGGCTAACAACA